GTGAGCTTGCAAAGCTATTGTAAGAAACAGAAATGCAGGGGGCGGGGAGGGGGGCAACTGGTGAGATGGTTCAGTGGGTAAAAGTGTACACTACCCAGCCTACAATCTGAGTTCAATCCCTGGGACTTCCCATGTGGTGGAAGGAGAGAATGCACTCCTGCAACTTGTCCTCAGCTCCACACACATACACTGTGGAATGCCTCCCTACCTCTAAACACATGAAATAGATAAGCCACTACCAGGCATACTGTAAGTTCCTGTTCAATGGTGACTAACATGGCTCCCTATGATAGTGAGATGACTTGGTACAGAGTGGAAAGATCTTGGTTTGGCTGGAAAGTTCATCACTTAGTAGCTAGGTGACCCTAGGCAGGTCACTCCCATGGCCAGGGCTCACTTAGCACCAACGTTGATGGTCATGTGAGCCGAGTAGGGGAAAGTACAGAGGCACTGAGTGAACTGTTCTCTGGGGAGCCCCTTGCCCAACATCACACCTTGTACCTATTCTTGTCCATACATATGACAGAATAGATCGTGGGTATCAAGGTGCTGTGGGGGAACCAGAAAGCCTTGGTAGTGAACTGTCACTTCATTACCTCTATATGTTAGATTCTCTCATCTGTCACAAAGATAACAGTACTCTCCTCAAAGGGAACTAAGAGGGGACACAGAACTACTTATTGTCTAGTCTCTTTCCTGCCCTTCTTGGAACTAAATGTGTTTCTTCTTTGTGTTCCATAAGGGACCCCACAATTCCTATGACTCTTAGAACTTTCCTGTGTTTGCTTAAGGCAGTAGGAATTGGCTTCTGTTCCATTCCAACCTTATGGAAGCTCCACATACTTTGAGTTCTGTGTCTAGCCAATTAACAGTGACAGCTACTTGTCACTTCCCTATTAAAAACACTCCACCATCGAGGCTGGAGAGATGGCTCAGAATTAAGAGCACTGGTTGCTCTTGCAGAGGTCCCGGGTTCAATTCCCAGCACCCACAAGGTGGCTAACAACCATCTGTAACTCCAGTTCCAAGGGATCCAATGCCCTTTTCTGACCTCTGTGGGCATTGCAGGGAATACACTCATACACATAAAATAAAAATAATAAGTAAAATATTTTTTAAAACAATGAAAGGAAAAGCCAAAGATGATGACAAGGGAAAGTAAAATGCTAATTTCAGCCCCCACAGGAAAGTGTTTCATCACGTGCACACAGCCAGAACTGGGGGGGGGAGTTCTGGGACACACATACCATGGTATGCATATGCAGGACGGAGGACAACTTTTAGGACTTGGTTCTCTCCTTCCACCAGGTGAATCCCAGGGATCAGGTCATTCACCAGGCTCTGCGAAAAGCACTTTTACCTGCTGAGCCATCTCACCAGCCCTTGGCATGACATTTTTGTTGTTTTGTTTTGTTTTGTTTTGAGAAAGGGTCTCACTATGTAGCCCACATTGGCTCAGAACTCACTATGCAGCCCAGGCTGGCCTTAAATTTTTGATCTGCCTGCTTTAGCTTAAGTACCTTTTAAATTTTATTTATGTTTTAAAGTAACACCATTTGTGTACTTGAGCCACTAGAATATGATAGACATTTTAGAAGTTCCTATAAGGTGGATTGTGGTAGTACACAACTATAATCCTAAAACTTGGGAGATAAAGATAGGAGTTCAAGGTCAGCCTCAACTACATAATGAATTTAAGACCAGCCTGGGCTATGTGAGATCCTGTCTTAACAAACAAACAAAAAAACCCCAACAAATTGCTATCAGACCACATTTCCTCTGATCTATTGTACTCTGGACTAAATATAAGATATTAATTATGCTGGGCATAGTGGTGCATGCCTTTGATCTCAGCACTCGGGATGGAGAGGCAGGTGGGTCTCTGTGAGTTCAAGGCCAGCCTGGTCTACATAGTGAGTTCCAGGTCAGCAGGGGCTACAGGGAGACCCTGTCTCAAAAAGACCAAGAAAAAAAAAATATATAAATTACTGACAACTTTGTTTGCTCTCTCTCTCTCTCTCCTTCTCTCTCTCCCCCTCCCTCTCTCTCTCTCTTTAGAAGGGGCTTTTTGCTACTCTA